CATCTCTGTTTATGCTCTATTGTCTGCTGTGTATGATAAGAGCAATTTATCTCAATATTTGCACTGTATTAGCTACAAGATGATTATACTGCTATAGCAGCCACATGGCAGTATGATTATATTAAACTGAATGCTGAACAGAAACTCTGAGTTTGAAATGTGAATGAGAGTTGTCAGCCATTAACCATGCTATGCATTACAGCATGAACAGTGGTTTATGTAACCTGTACAAACATCGCGAGTTTGACTTTGCTTTGACTACTGTTTCTGATGATGTTTTTTCTCTGGCTAAATGACATGTAGAAAAGAGTATAATTAGTTGGCTATTTGGTATTAACCCATGACAGCGTTATTATTATTTAATTAGCAAGTTCTGGTCTTTCTTTTAAATTTTCATAAAAAAATGGCTTGTGGCAAATTGTCACCAGTGTAATGCTTACTATTTTAATTCAGTCCGTGTTCAAATCAACAGTGGTACTGAAAGAAAGAGAGAAAATATTCATTTTAGCCACTATGCATTTTTTTTAAGTTTGAAATACACTTCTTGTACACAAAATTGTGGGAAATGTGACCTAACTATAAAGGCATGTGAAAAAGTCAACGAGAGAATGATTAAAAAAGCAAAGAATTAAGGTGTCGAAGTAGCCCGGTCCAAAAGCTCAACTCAAACAAGGCACTTTCCAGTGAACATTGTTTCAGAATGTCATGAACTTAAACATTTAACATGCTAACTGAGGCCTGTATAGTCTGCGATGTAGCTCTTGGCAGTTTTTGCAGTTTCTCTCAGCACTGCATGTTCTGACCTTGAGGTGAATTTGCTGGGATGCCCTCTGATCGGGAGATGATAACTCACACCTGAATGGTCCAGATGACCAAGTCCAGACCTCAATCCAATTGAAATGCTGTGGCAAGACCTAAGGAGTGCTGCGCATAAATGAATGTACACAAACTGAAGCAACATTGTTAAGCTGAGAGACTAATGCAGTCATACAGAAAACGACTGCTTCTTGTTAGTGAAGCTAAAAGTGCTTCTTTAATTTCAGACAACTGAATCATGGTCCCGTACATTAATATTTCTTAATAATTTTTAGACTTTCTACCACTGATGGAAATTTAAATTACATGATTTAAACAAATATTTGAGTATACTCTTTTCAGAATAAGGACAGATGAGACACATGATTGTATTTTTAAAAGCTTTGTCTGGTAGTTTTCTACTTTGTGTTTGATTCAAATCTGAGGCCATATTTTTAGGTCTTCTACAGAAACTGATTGTAAGCTTATTCACATCAAACAGAAGGATTGTAAATAGTTCTGAAATCCTTGAACATGCATTTCATATTTCCTGATTGCATTATGTTGTAAAGTGACTTCTTGCTGTTATGTAATTTGTGGATATTTGTCCCAGAATTTTAAAACATAAACACATTTATTTATGACACAAAATCCTGTACCAGAGATTTTAGGGATGTAGCAATTAACATATTTCTTTGCTGTGTTTTGAGATGATTTTGGAACAAAGTCTTTATATTGCCAGAAGAAAAAAAGGTTTCTGAATTACACTACACAGCCTATCAGGAAAGCCTACACTAAACGTGCATGAAAGAAGATTTATATTGGTTGAACCTTGGACGCGACAGCAAATTTCAGCACAATGCAGTGTTTTTATCCAACTAGAATAATTGAGGGATCATAGAGATATTGTTGTTTTTCCTCATGTATTGAGGATTTGGAGAAGATGTACATCTAGCTTGTACATTGTGGTCGTGCCAATGAGTCATTTAGTCCGACACACTGACAGAAATCTGCATTCATCTTCCTGAGATTAAGTGAAGCGTTCGCTTTGCTTGCCACATATTTGATATCAAATCCATATAAGCTGTTCCTTACCCCCTTTCACGTTTGTGAAAATTTGTGGACACAGCCAAAAACAACAGTCAGGCTGTTTTGATTCAAGGCATCAGCTCTGAGATCCCAGCACTTCTTATTGTACCGCCTTGTTTTTTTGTTTTTTGTTTTTTACAGAGAATAAACATGGATTTTCTCATCTGTATGAGGAATGTGAACAGAGCCTGAGTCGATATTGGGGAGAAATCCGAGTGCATTAGGATGTAGGGCAGGTAGAACAATTTAACTCATATTAAAATACATATTTTTTTGTTGTCATGACTTGCAGGTAGGTCAAATATTATGTAATGTGCATTGGATAGTTTATCTGCATTCTCCATATCAATTTCCATTCAAAAACATAAACCCCTCAGTGCTTCTCTAGGGGGGGAAAAAATCACTTGTCAGTTTCTAAACTTTTATTACAGTAAGACCCTTTTTGTTCCAGTCTTACCTTAGCTTATCTTCTTTACCTAATGGTGTTGATTTATTTCAGTTTTCTTATCTTAGCAACTGTGCAGTATTGACAGAGCTAATTAAAGATTGTAGCAAGTAAAATTAAAAAGTCAATTCACAGGTCTTAGCAATACTATCCCAGCTACCATAAAGTGAACAGAAAAGTACACAAAACATAATTAAACAATACACAAACTCACATAAACCATCATCATCCCAGCCAGTCCCCACTGGTTACAAGAGCATCTTTATTACTTACCATTTTAACTGAAAGATTGATCATCAGTTGATTCACACTGTGCAGGTTAGAATGAATGTGTACTGGTGGAACAGATGGAGACAGGTGCACAATCTCTTCATTTGTTAGTTAATTGTTTATGAACGCCGCCTTAAAATAAATAAATAAAAGTTAATGCTTTTAAATAAAAGCTTTAATTTGGAGGTGGGATAGGACACGATGAAAAGTCCTGTAATAATGTTGTGTAATCGCCATATTAAAAGGCAAACAAATGCGATGGCCAAGGTAAGAGGTGAATATGTGGTGCTCTCCAAGGTGCTGTACGTGCAGCTGTCAGTGGCAGAGAAAATGTCTAAGTCTCTCACTTTAGCTTGCACCAGGTGTTAGTGTTACTTATTAGCAGCAGCTTATGAGACAATATCTTAGCTGCAGTTCAAACACTGAACTCACCTGTGTATGTGTGATGTGTGTTTTTGTCTCTTGGTTGCGAGACTTAAGAGGTTGTTGCTATGCCTTTCTTCACCTTCTAATGTTCTCATAATAAGCACTGTCGGTGTCACAGCACTCAGTGTTTCTCTTCTATTAAGTTCTGTTTGTTTTGTTCTGAACCGTTTGTGTGACAGTATGCCAAAGTTATACTTTTGTCACCTTGACGGCTGAAGTGTTTATTGTTTCGACAAGTAGGTTCTGTGATTTTGACAAGATAATAAAGTTAAATGCTACTGCACTTCATGTTCTTGGGTCTCTGACCTAGTGTTTGGAGTTTTTTAAAGTTGTATTTTAGGTTATCTTTTGTGGGGTTTTTTTCCATGAGTCTATGTCCATGAGTTTTCAGTTCATCTGACCTCTCCTGTATCCCCGTTTACTGTTATCAAGTCTTAGTCTCTGTGGTAGGCGTTTTTCTGTGTCGGTACTTCCTGTTTGTTTTGGTAGCTCTTGTCCCATGTGCCTTGTATTTACTTTTGCTTCCCTTGTCTTGATAATGTCTGATTAGATTCAGCTCTGTACCTCTGAACTCTGATTAGTCAGAATAAATGGCTCACTTTTTACTTGCAGTCTGCCTCGTCCCATGTCCAAGCTTTTGGGTCCACATTTTAATGCTTCTATGACATCATGTTTACTACTCTACATCACTGGCTGGTTTGGGAATGCCTTGACATCCCAGAATAACTGTGGTAAGTTAGAGCAGCATATTACTATGTAGTTAGGAAACTTGAAAGCCATCTTGGCTGCGATTAATTCTTTATTGTATTAAAATTATTCATCTGGATGAAATCATCCCCTGGGTTTCAAAGTTGGATACATTAAAGTGTGACATGTCCAGGTCAAAATGTCTCACTATAAAAGTAGAGCACAGAATTCATGAAAGGAACCACTAAAGGATGAAGAGACTAACGACTAATTCTATCATCCCTTTACTGAATGTCAAAACAGGGGGACTACATTTGTTTTTGGGGAATAGTGTTTGACCAGTTGCAAACATAAAAGGGAGTACAAGTATATTTTGATGCTGTGATTAGCAGTGTTTTTATTATGCAACTTCTCGGAACCTCTCAAAGGACACGATCGACATGAACATACATTAAGAATTCTAAAAAATAATGACCGTCTTTCATGTGGGGAACTGAATGTGGCCTCATAAAGCCAGAATACAGGCACTTTAATCAGTAAAGCAGAACATGCCTCAGTGTTGCCCTTAGACCTGAACCCCTTGGATTTGGATATTTAATTGAAGATCTTCCAGTGCTACCATCTGAAACAAGCCGGTGTCACTTTTAAAGAACTTTCGAAATGTGGTAACCCATCCCACTGGAATCCTTTGCATAGTGATGGGAGCCATGTTAATCCACTGTTGATCTACCCAGGGATTAAGCTCTTCCAAAATCAATAAAACTGTGAAAGCTTGCCTTCTGGTCTTAATCAAATCCTTTACATTCGTGACTTATACAGTTTGATACTACAGAACCTGATAATTTGCTTCTGTATCAGATGAATGTAGTGAAAAAATATCAACATTTGCATTTTCTAAGCTCAGCAGAATTGCCACCTCCCCAGTGGAGCATAAACGTGCAGGCCAAGTAAAGGTTTGTTAAGTTGCAGATATTAGGAAAAAAAATCCAAGTGTAACAGACTGCATTCTATAATTCACACTCACGAAAAACAATGGGATATACCCACAGGCATTTATGGCAGCGATTCAATTTTAAAGTCGGCTCCATATCTTCCCATTTTTAATCCAATAGCACCTACAGGATGTTTTATGTATTTGTTACTTTCTACCAGGTTGTATCTCATATGCAGGTGCCGACCTGCTACACTGGATGAGGCTCGATTCCACTCCACGTTTTGTGTCCCGCTTTTGCCCTGCCGGTGCATCTGAACACACAGCGCTCTCCTCCACAGAGCATTTCCACTTCAACGCAGCTACAATGGGCTTTCTTTGCTGAGCGAAGTTGAGTCAACAAGCCGGGAAACGCGCTCCTTGGATTCATGTGGCACCTTTACGCTCACAGCTTTCTTTTCTACTGCGCCGAGGGACTTTCAACTGAACTCGGTGGCGATACAAACCCGTTGTGCTTTGGGGGATGTGTTAAGAGACTATAGTTGAGTTTCAACCACTAAAAACGACCAGTCATTAAATAGTCTACCTGCGAATCTGCTGCAGGAGGGGGGAGTTTTGCCAGCAAGCGGGACACTGCAGAGTACTTAAACAGTGAGGGATCTGTACAGAAGTGAACGATGCTCAGACTGGAGACCATCATTTGCACTTTTTCTGTGCTGTCTGTTGCGGCAAGAGCCGAATTTAAAGCGAGGAATTGCAGCGAGGTGAGGGAGGCTTCCATCGCGAAAGGCTTTGGCTTCTCACATGTTCCCCATCAGGAGATCCCAGGTAAGGGTGGACTGAGTTACTGGCTCACGACCTGCCGGTTACAGCATCCGAAATGATCGGGAATATGCAGCGACTTTTACAAAATAAAATAATAATAGTAAACGAGTCTGTGTTAAGTGTTTATATCTGAGAGGAAAAGTTAAAAATTCTCAGCGGTCCTATTGCAACTCATTTAAGACGCTAAATCGTTTTAATGCTGCAGGGGTACGCTACTGCGACTGCACCACGTCCAACTAATCGGTTCCAGCTTTTCAACCACCTGTCACTCACAAAGTACCTGCTGTGATTTTCACTCACTGAAGTTAACTCTATACAAATGATGTGAGCATAACTACAGGCTTATTTAGTTTTATATATATATA